CAACAACAGCAACAACAGCTACAACAACAACAGCTACAACAACGACAGCAACAACAAGAAGCAGCAGGAACAAGCAGCAGCAGCAGCGAAAAACAGCATCATAAAGTTACCACCATCACCAGCATCATCATCATCANNCATCATCATCGTCACCATCATCATCGTCATCATCATCATCATCTCACCTTCATCATTGTCGTCTTCTTTTTCCATGAGCATCCACACCAACATTATTATCATCATCGTCGTCATCCTCAAAATCGTCATCGCCATCATCACCGTTATCATCATCATCACCAGCATCATCATCATCTTCTTCATCATCATCATCATCAGCAGCAGCATCAGCATCATCATCATCATCATCATCAACATCATCACCTTCTTCTTCTTCATCATCATCATCATCATCACTATCATCAGGTTCGTCACCTTCGTCATTATCACCACCGTCATAAGCCACAGCATGTTCGCCATCGTCATCATGACCTCCGTCATCAACGGAGAAGAACGATCAGCAGCAACGGCGGCACTGACCTAACAGACTCCTCACTGTGGGATTCCCTGCCGGCTGGCATGCACATCGCTTTGGGTAGCTCTGTACACCCCAAAACTGACCTGGAGCGAGCTTGAGCTTGGCTTGCCTCGAGATTGCACGTTTTTGCCGCAAAGCCCCGTCCTGCAATTACCGAAGGACATCGGCTTCACTATGCAGAAGGTGACTTGGGCTTCTTGAGAGAACGACTCAGCGCACCCTGGCTCAAAGGCATACGCAACTAGTGAAGACCTTGTGCTTTTAAAGGAGGTTACTGGAGGCTGAGATCTTGCGCACGGGGTTGTGGCTGTTGCGGTTGCCGACTGGAAGCATAGCAGCCCAACCTCGAACCGTAGACCTTTGCTTTCTGTCGCTCGCAGCAGATACAAGTCACTGCTCGGGCAAGATAATGGACAAAGAGCTGTTTGTGAGACTCATTGGACATTCACTCGCGCTTGTGCTCTTTTCTCAGATCTCATGGTACACCTTGAGCGAACGCTCCAACACCCGAGTCATGAAAGGAAGCGGCGGAGCCGACTGCGACGTCATTGCTCCGTGCTTCCATGCTGACGTCCTTGGTTTCTGCTGATGTGCCACGCCGGATCTTCGAGAATGTAAAGCACATCAATGGCTCCATAAAGCCTGAAACTGTAAAGTCAATCACGGAGCTCGTGCGTCGTGTGTGTGTGTGTGTGTCTCTGTGTGTGTGTGTGTGTCTGTCTGCTTGTCAATCTGTCTGTCCGTCCGTCCGTCCGTCTCTCCGTGGGTCTGTCTGTCTGTCTGTCCGTCTGTCTGTCTGTCTGTCTGTCCGTCGGTCTGTCTGTCTGTCTGTCCGTCCGTCGGTCTGTCTGTCTGTCTGTCTGTCTGTCTGTCTGTCTCTGTGTGTGGGTGCAGGCGTGTGTCTACATGCGCATGTTTTTTGTACTGCAGACGTCGAGCCCCCCTCCCAAGCCTTAAGTTGAGACTACTGGATCCCTTGCAAAAGCCGAAGATGTTTTTGAGTTTCGGATGTATATGGGATTAGGACTTCAAAATGAAGGACACCCCACCACACATCCAGGCAATATGCCGGGAGCCCCTCAACCTGTGCAAAGCATACCCTTTCCGAGTCAAAGGGTCGGCAACCTGAAGGTACGTGACGAAATTCCCCAGTCCTCATACTAATTTACTATACACAAGTCTCCAACCGTCAGGATTGAATTCAACTCAATCCGCAAGCCTTAGGGCCTTCGGGGTCTTGAGGTGGAGCAACTGCCATGCTTGACGGCAGCCATGTCGGAAGCTGACTTCCTGGAAGGTCTCGCACCACGTCGGAATCAAAGTGGTGAAGGTTATTTAAGTCGTCATAGCAAGAGCAGTGGCAGTTGCAGTTGCTGCTGTTGTTGTTGTTGTTGTTGTTGTTGTTGTTGCTGCTGCTGTTGTTGTTGTTGTTGTCGTTGTTGTTGTTGTTGTTGGTGGTGGTGGTGGTGTTGGTGTTGTTGGTGTTGGTGTTGTTGGTGTTGGTGTTGGTGTTGGTGTTGGTGTTGGTGGTGGTGTTGGTGTTGGTGTTGGTGTTGGTGTTGGTGTTGGTGTTGGTGTTGGTGTTGTTGTTGTTGTTGTTGTTGT